CAATATTGCGCCCTTTAGTGTCGAATTTTTAAGTGATTCCGCCCATTGCTTCTGAGTATTAGAATTTTCACAAACACTAGTGCAGTTAAGTGTTAAAAATTACCCATTCTTTCTCGAAACATTTTTGTGACATGTAATCAAGCACAAGGGTACAACTTTCTTTAAGAAATATTCAACAAATGATTGAATATTACTCATCGAAGTTAAATAAATAACGGACGTGGGAATATATCGTCAAAATAATTTTGTGTACCCTCATTCCACAGTATGTACTTTATGCGTGAAAAAATAAGTGTGTATATGCAGGGTTAAATACTCTTTTCCTCCAAACCATTTAAGGTACCATTTCAGCATCATTATCGCTTTTTCACCGATATTTTCTCCTTCATCGACAGCAAGACCACTCATCGGTCCTAGAGTCTGGAATCGAAGTCGCGGCAGAGGCAACAACGTGAAAGACAAAGGCGCCGCGAGAAAGAGCACCGATCGCAGCGAAGAGATTACCGCGGCAGCTGGCGCTGGAAACGGGCGGAAACAGCTGGGCCCGACCACGCCCTGAGCTCCGGCGGCGGCGACGGCAGCAGCAGAGAGGAAGAGGCGGAAGTGACGTCGCCGCCGCCCCCCCCCACAATCCGCTGCTGGGGCGGATAACGGCGCTGGCAATTAGCGCGCCGTAATTGGGGCGATGTAATTGGCACGGCTCGCGACGCCCGGCCCCCATCCGCTATCTCCACCTCTCACCAGCTGCGGTGGCTCGGGCCGGGAGGTCCGAGGGTAGGAGCCCCCAAGGTGGCACTAGCCAGACAGCTGGTGCGAATTCCGTCGCTCTCTGGAGATTTCTTGCGGCCGACTGCTCTGATCGGCAGTTTTGTGTGTTTAATTGGGTGTCCGGGTGACGCCGCGTCCATGGCAAAGGTGCCGATGTTTCGGTCGCCATTGTGCGACGTTCCTCAGGGCGTATGCGCAATTAAATACTGCCTCCCGCTGCGGAAGCCTACGCTTTCACTGTTTTATGTGATTTCTCCGCTCAATACAAGGCAGATGCCGTAGCAGCTTTTTATCCAACGGCCTCAGAGCGCGCTGGATTTTTCCTACGTCTTCTTTTACCTCTACGCGCCCATCCTTACGCACACACTTCCAAGTGTATAATCGGGATCATTGCCGTTATGCGAGGCGGCAGCTTGATGCATTCATGACGCGTAATTATCTTGTTTGCAACTACTGCCGCTCGAGTGTCGTGGAAGTCCGCCTCCCTCCCTGAGTCTTCGCTCCCCTTGAGGTCGAGCTCCTTTGCCTTTCTTTATAGTATGAGGAAAACTGTCACCAATCGCTGGGTCATAATTGACGCTGAGGTGTGAAGGGTCCCGCGGATTCCGCGGCCGTGTCCAGCGCGGAGCTTTCCGCGCCGCTCTGTGAGGGCCTAAGGGCGCCTTCCCACGTCGCCACAGCGGCGCGCTTGCGGGAAGCGGCAGAGCTCTTCCGACGCCGCCACCGCCGAAGCCACGGCCGACCGCCGCCCGTCGTCCAAGGGGTGGGTTCGCCGACGCTCCGGCGACGTCGAACAAAGGGAGCGCAGCAGGTAAAACGCCGCGACCGGCGGCGCAGTGGGAATGCCGTCATTTACAGCTGTGTTCCGCTAGCGGTTCTGCCTCCTGCGCTTCTCGTGGCGAGGGTCCGCCGCCGAGCGCCGCAGCAGCGCGAGCGCGCCGCACGTGGGAAGGTCTCCATTCAAATCAAAGCTCTGCTGCGTCGCTCGGAAGCGCGCAGCGGTGGCGACGTGTGAAGGCGCCCTTAACGGCTTCCGGCGCGGGCGGCGCCGCGCGCTTTACGGCCAAGGGATGGTTCGCCGGCCCGCCGCCGCTGGCGCTGATTGACACCTGTTGTTGGGGCGAGGGCCGCGGCCTGTGGGCCGGCCACGGCCTCACCACGCGATGATTGCCAATTACCAGGCGGTCAATGGCAACTGTCGTAATGAGAGTGTGCGTTGAAACGCTAATTTATTATTCTAGGATAATTGCGTTTGTTGATAATTGCGTGTCGGTGCTTGCAAATTTAATTCGTTCCTATTTTTTATTCTAAATACCGACGAACTATAAGGGAAAATTATTTTATTGGAAGTACCAAATTTAGGTTTATAATTTTTGCCATTTGTGTACATATGAATATTCTGGATTGAAACTCTATCAAACAAAATTCAAGGTAGATACTAATAATTTATTCGTAATATCAAAACAATTTTCCAACGCGTACATTTCAATTATGAATACGATATGAAATGATACACGTTTCAATATTAGTGGTCATTACCAACGGTCTTTTACAACTTATTCATTTTAAAAGGCCAGGTGGGCATTTTATTATGCCAATAATCTTGCCTTGTAAACGAATATTAATGGAATTGGAATGATTTCACACAAGTCATGTTTAAGGAAACCAACCTCTGAATGAATGAATATTAATAATTCCTCTATAACTTTTAACTTATCTAATATATAAAATATAACGTTATTCAGTCAGTCGAAATTACGTGCTCGAAATGTATAAATAATGCGTGTGTAATTGGAAGCAATTGCATATAGTTTGTTTTGCAGTAGAAAAGAAGATTTGTTATTACCAAACATAGTCTCTGAAGAAAAAGTGATAAGTTGTTAACTAGTTATTTTTCTATTGATGAAAGGTGAATCGGGACACATTCTTAATTACTTTCTTAGGGTTATCATTAATTATTGAAATGTACTACACACACTTGTAAATATAGCTTTTATAGGAAGTTTTCACGTAACAAATTCACATGAAATTCTGCTAACGTACTTTGAAACTTTACGCAACAAGACAAAATAATTAATTTTCATTTGTATTCAAAAGAAGCGCAAAAATCACTCCGTTGTTCGCAACATTGCCACTTTGTCGTGTCGCTAATCTACGTTGCCATTTTCTCACATTACAATCGTTGCATAAATATATTTGAATGTACAGTCCATTCTTTTTGGATAATTCAACCATTCCGAATCCGATCAGACCACACCCACAATTAGTTCGTAATACCGGGGTTCTACTGTATTTGTATATAATTTACTCCAAAGTGTAACTATTGTCCCTGGGACTTCTTGCTTTAATAGTTTTTTTTCAGCGTAGCAAAGTACTCGACAGAATCAAACGCTTTGTTAATATTAATCTAGCGATGCTACAACAGCACTTACCTTCTCGCTCTATTGGAAATAGTTACGTAATATTGAAACATTGCAATATCTATCCTTCTAGCACCCCAGCTATATGTTAAAATCAAACTCAACAAATTCACGTGGAGCGCCTCTCAAGCATATCTGCATTTATTTCGATTCTCAGGAACAGTAAGTCATTTATTACTAATTAATTGGATTTTTGGTGAAGTAGATACCTTTTTATTATGATAAATAAATAAAGATATTGTCAGGTATCAATTTTTTGAATTAAGCTTATGATCAATTTCGATCGCGTACGGATCATCTTCAGAGCTAAAATATGAAATACAAATATTATAAACAGGTTGTAGTTATTGTCTTACAACCTGTCGGCGACTCGGCGGCGGAAGGACGAGTCGGCGCCGCCGCGAGGAGAGCCGTTTGGAGGCGGCGAAGGCGCCGCGCGGGGCCAAGGCGGAGTGACGAGGCCGAAGCAGCGTCGAAGGGCATGCGTGGTGGAAGTGGAAAAGAGCCAGCCGTAGACCGACCATGTGTGGGGGCAGGGGAAATGAGTGGATCGAGAACGATGGAGTGCGGTGGGACAGAGGGACGGAGACGGGGCGGTGGAGGCGACGTGGGGACAGAATGGCGCGAGTACGAAGTGTGGGGCGGGGCGGGACTGGCAGAGCGCCTCACATGGACGGGCAGAACTGAGCAGGGACAGAGGAGGGGGGGGGAGAAGAGGCGAAGCTGGGACGCCGAGCCAGGCGGGGGAGATTCGGCGAGGAGGGGTCGGAGGGGGAGGGCCTGTGGGGCGGATGGAGGAGGATGGAGCGGGTGTGGGCGGGCGAACGGCGTGGCGGGGACAGTTGAGGAGGGTGGGTGGAAGCAGACGAACGGGAGAGTCAGCTGATGAAGCCTCGGAACGCGCGGAGTGGGCCGGTTTGGGCGGGGCGAGCGAGGCTCGGAGGGTTGGGTGGGGGTGGCGGCGCTCAAAGACGTCATTGCAGCGAAATAAGCGAATGAAATTCAGGCTCGGGCCGCGCGGCGGGCCGGCAGCGCCGGCCGCCGGGCACTTCTTAATTAAGATGCTGTTGCCGCTGCTGACGGGACGAGCCCTTTGACTTTGTAATCAGATTCCTTGCCCCTCCTCGCGCCCGTCTCACCTGCCTGACGGCTCTGTTCCTCGAAGGGCGGCAATGTCGAGGGTCAGAAGCGATTCTCAAGATGTCACTGCTTCGTAGATATTTCAACTTTGTGTAAGATGAACACCATTAGTCGTGCGGAGAAGCACTTAGGTTTCCGTTAAGATGCGATTGTCATAAGAAATGTGATATTTTAATTAAAAAATGTAAAAAATATATTTACATGCAAATACTTCAATTGTATATCAAACTCTTGCAGAAATTTTCCTATACGTTATTCGTACTAGGTTAAAACAATGTAAATAGAGTCCCAAAGAGAAAAAAGATTTTCGTTTTCGGTTTTTTTATTTTATGAATTTTAAAGATATTATAAGTTACTTTTACTGTTATCACCACTAACACAATTTTAATTTAATGCTGTGTTTTTATTCAGTGATTAAATCGATGAAATCTGAAAAAAACTAACTACGGCTAAAAACAGTTGAGTCAATAAAACGGATCGCAACTTAATTCGAATGACTTGCAAAGATATTCACAATCTTGTCCAGGAGGAACTTTGCATGCGAATTATATTCCTTGCCATTTACACTTAATGTAATTTATAGACGCCAATTACTCGAAAGCGCCGGACATCAATATGGCGCAAATGAAGCCTTCAGAGATAACGTCCAATGGCGCGCGTGGGCGAACCGGATCACTCTGTTGCCACCAAGAAGTCCCACAAGTCCAGCGTTCTCCGCTCACCGTACTTCCCCACACGCCGCACCAGACACGCCGACACCCCCAGACACGCCGCACCAGACACGCCGCACCGACACGCAACACGCCGCACCAGACACGCCGCACCAGAGCCACCGACGCCACCAGACACGCCGCACCAGACACGCCGCAACAGACCACGCCGCACCACACACGCCGCACCAGACACGCCGCACCAGACACGCCGCACCAGACACACCGCTCCACACACGCCGACCACACACGCCGCATCAGACACGCCGCACCAGACACGCCGCCCACACACGCCGCACCAACACACGCCGCACACACACGCCGCGCACCAGACACGCCGCACCACACGCCGCACCAGACACGCCGCACCAGACACGCGCACCAGACACGCCGCCACCAGACACGCCGCACCAGACCCACGCCGCCCACCAGACACGCGCAAGACACGCCGCACAGACACGCGCACCAGACAGCCGCACTCAGATACACGCCGCACAGGACACGCGGGCAACAGACCGCCGCTTCACACACCGCCGACTTTCGACACACGCGCACCAGACACCGCCGCACAGCCGCGCTCCACACAGACGCGCCACAACGGCCGCACCAACAAGAATACACGCCCAGCACAGAACACGCGCCCACGACGAATCGCCACAGACACGCCGACCAGGACACGCGCACCAGACTATTTGATGTGACATCTATCCGCCTTTCCCATTCTTCCCACCTCTCGATGCTTATTTTTTCCCCAATTGACGGCTTTCCGCCCAATGTGGCACCCGTGTCTACGCACCAAAATAAATTAATTATCTCTTGGCCTACCTAATCAACTGCGTCAAGACACTGCCCGAGGAGCACCTGCTGTCCGCGTGACGAGCGTGAGACCGCCGGCCCGGCTACTCTGTTCCCCACCGAACGCCGCCCCCACCTGTCCGTTCGTCACACCGAACGTTGAGGCCCTTTCACAGTGCAAACGCAAACATAAGCATAGCGCATACACATAAACATAAGCCATAGACAAGTATTCACAATGTCTAACATAAACGTAAGCGATATAAGACTTTCTATTGGCTGTGAGACATTCTGGTTTACTATTGGTTGGATGTGAGAATCGATTTCAAGGTATCGACTGTGTCCAAGGCCCATATAGCGTTAGTTCTTCGATCGACTTCGCTCCAGTTTCGATTCTCGATTTTGAGTTAACGTACTGTTCATTTCTTATGTCTTACTTAAGCATCGCACTGAAGTTTTTTAAAGTTAACGTCTTCCGTGTTATGCTTATGCGAACGCATTGTGAATGAGTCCGCTTATGGACGTAGTCCCAACTTTTATGTTAACGCCGTGCTTATGCTCATGTTTGCATTGTGAATGGGCCTTTAGTGTAACGATTCGCTCTTCAGCCCCAGGCTACCTGCCCCCCGTACGGTTGGGATCTGTGCCGCTCAAACACGCGGCGTGCGTGTTTCTATAGTTGGCCTCATGGCATCGCTGGGGGCAACTCGCAACGTGAACACATCGTTCTCCAGCTATCATAAGGAAATGATAAACTCTCTACCCCACAATGTGCTGAGCATCACTTGCAGCTGAGCTGTCATTATTTCACGCATGTAAGTCTTTCGCTTTCAGTGTAACCAATTGCTTCTAGATGACCTGAAAGTATGTTATCAGACGCAGTGGCGTGTTAATGCTAGGCGGACCGCCACCGAGAATGGCTGGAGTCAGTACCGCCCAAAAGCGTTGTGCGTTTTTCTATAATTGCCCACATGGCATCGCGGTGAGCAACATGCAATGTGCGTAGCTCCGAGAACACACAATGTTCCAGCTATTATGTGGAAATGATAAGCTATCTGAACTGCAAATTACTGTGCATTACTTCAAGCTGAACTGATGTTATTAGAAGCATGTACGTTTTTACGCTATCAGTGTAACCAATTGTTTCGGCGTGAACTGAACGTGCATCACAATTTACCAGTGGCTTGTTAGAGACACAATGAGCCATGCGTCCTAAATACGTTGCGTCACAAACTGCCATTCTGAGCTAATGGGTGATAATGTGCCGCCGGCATGAACAGTCATTAGATAACGTGATCTCTGTGCATCATACGCAGCACTAACACACATATTCTGCGGTTCCGGGGAATTCAAAGTAAGTTTCTACAATTGTCAGTTACAACTCACGGCATTTGTAGACTTCTCGTTGCCACAGGTTCTTGCCAATCGTCACTCTCATCCCCTCTCCGGGCGGATGACAAAATGTGCCCTACACACGCGTTCAACCTTCAAGTCTACACTGCATCACCATGATTCTGTTTGTATACAATGAACCATGTTTTTCATTTTAGCACTAGCGTATTATGCTATGTTGCATATTGGAACTCATGTTGTGTTAACTGCAACCAACAGTGTCTTCTTGTAATGTAAATGTAAACACTGTAAATGCTTACGGTCGGTGAAATCCTTCAATGTTAACTGTAATCGATTGTATCAGTCTTCAACTATACATGCCTATGACTATTGCTGTCATTCAGATACTTTCAACATTGATGTAATCAGATTATTGTGATGAAGTGTATCTTTTACTTAGCTTCAATTTCATGTTTTCCCTTCAATTAGTACCTAATGAATTCTTCCGACGTAAAAGTGATTCCCTCTGTAGATACTAACATTTACAGTGAATGCGTCCACGTCACATTATATGCGGTGGTCCTCCGAGTTGTTAATATCAACGATACCAAGGAAAGTGGAAGGGGCTGGCTGCTAACTCATCCAAGATGTCCACTGCCTCTTCAGTCGCCCCCGACACTCTCTTTCATACACAATGGCCCCACTCAGAATGATTATATACACTCACTTGTTGGAAAACAGACACAACCTGCACTCAGGGGTGAGCCTATGTTCGAGCTCAATGAGAGACCAGTGTTTTAGATAGCTGAGGAACTAGTGAAATAAGTAACTGAAACTAGTAAAATTAATACAGACATAGATATATACGTATACTGTATAGATACAGAAATAGATACAGACAATATCCGATTTCAAAAGTATAGCAACCTATTTTGGATCAAATTTTAATACAAATGAAAATAATAAAGAAGTTATTTGGAATTAAATTAAGA